CCTACAAGACTGACCAAGGACAAACAGTGCGATGGTGGGCGTCCAAGCTGCATGCGATGTACTGAAACGAAGGCTATGTGTGTATACGAAGAAACGATTGTTCGCAAGTCAAACTCCTCGTCCGGGTACGTGACCAAGACACCACGCTCCTATTCTCCCCAGGGATTCCAAGACCTAACTGGCGTTCAGGGAAAAATTTCAAGTCCTGGACCGGCTGAAAGCCATTGAGGAAAAGCTAGAACATGTCCAGTGGACTTACACACGCAACCCACCTCAGCTTCCTATCGAGCCTTCATCCATGCACAGGTGTCATTTACCGCATAATCCGTCTACCGGGCCCTCTATAAGTCCGCAAGAGGACATGCCTCCTTGCGACGTCTTCGAAGACTCCGTGGACGGTATTGGGACTATTCGCTCAAGCGACAGCCAGGATGATTCTGCACACTTCGGGGCATCGTCCAACATCGCTTTCCTGCTCCGCATCACCCAGGCTCTGGCCAATTCGGCTGGTTGCGGTAACTCAAGAGATCTGCTAAAACCTTATCATCGTTGTCCGTCTTCTGCTACGTCTTCGAACGTTCCTGGGCCTGAACCGGGCCTTTCCGGCGCCCTATCCTGGCCGAAATCTTGCCAAGCTACTATCCTTGATATTCCACCGGATGCCATGGACATAATACAGGAGTACTTTGCAACCGTGGCGCTGTTCATGCCCTTCTTGCATGAAGAATCATTCATTGCTGTTTTCGAGCGAGGGCGTACGCAATGTTTCAGGAACGTTCGAAAATCATGGCTGTCCTTGCTTTACATGATTTTGGCCCACGTCTACCTAACTCAGACAGCAATGTCCCCTAGCACAGAGTCAGCTGAACGTTCCGAAAACTTCTTCCAAAATGCCTTGGCTTTGGCGGTGCCGGAAGTCATCTTGGGCCCGACTAGCCTGGAACATGGTATGATACGCCCTACATCTGCCTAATCAGTCCCAGTGTTCTAATAACTTAACATCATGCAGTCCAACTCTTCTGTTCGATTTGTGCGTACCTGCAAGGCTCATCGCACTCTTCGCGTGTATGGACATTCCACGGCCTGGCTGTTAAGTCCGCCCTGCAGCTCGATCTGTGCTCCACTGAGTCTTGCTCTCATCTAACGCCTTTGGACCAAGAGATGCGGAGACGAACTTGGTATATGTGTCTCATAAACGATGCGTGGGTGACCTCCCATTCTCGCCTTATTCGTCTACCCTAAACTAATTTTTGGGGTCTAGGATATTTAGTGTCAAGTTTGGTCGACCACCCTTAGTGGCAGAGTCCTTGTGGAAGGCGAGCACCCCAAGCAAGATCACCGATTTACCTCCGTCCGTTGCCAGGAGCCCCTCGGTGATGGCTACGAGCCTGTCCTATTACCGGGCTATGTTGTAAATGACTCTTCACCGTTCCCCGGAAATATAGCACCACGAGCTGATCTCACGCTGAACAGATCACTGTCATTCATCATACGCGACATCACGAAGAGACTATACTATGATAATGTCGGATCCCCTCCACCCCTAAGCTGCGCTGAGACGTTGACGGAAACCTTTAATCTCTCATACAAACTTTCCGAGTGGCATGGGAATGTGCCTCGAGCTCTGCGTCCCGGCGAAGGACTTGAGAAGCAGTACACTAGACACCAGCCTCTCGAGACACGCAGACTCCAAGTGGCCCTGTCCTTTCGATACTCTGGTGCCTGTATCCTTCTTCATCGCCCAATATTACAGAAGCTTTGGGATTTCAATAGTGATTCAACCAGCCTGGAGCTGACTCTGCTCAAAGGGACAGGCTTTCTTTCTTTGAGAAGCTGTATGGATACTTGTAGAGACGCAATTCAAGTGGGAACAAGCATCGTCAAAGAGATCAATAGGCAAACGAATTTACTGGGAGCATGGTGGTTCACGACCTATTACAGTGAGTTTGTTCAATCCTTGCCTCTCCTAAGCCCGGGCTAATGAACCAAGCTTTCAATGCCTCCCTCATGATCTTGGGCGTCCTCCTGGCCTCAATGGAACCGTCCTTCAATGAATTGCTCTCGCTCAAAGCCACCACGTCTCTCCATTCTAGTCTGAATGACGCTGTTACACTATTGGCTCAACTTGACGGAGGCAGTCCAATGATCAAACAGTGTCGCGAATGTCTACAACGCTTGCTTAAAATATACTACTCAATCGCCCAAGCATCCATTACTGAAGACGGCAGTAACAAGAGAGAGCAAATTGAAGTCGACCAATTAACGTCGAGCTGTACCTCTAGCGGAGACATCGATCTGAGCTGGCTACCTCCGAAGGATTCCGGCTCTTTCACTCTAGGCCATGGGCCGGGTGTTACAGACACAGACCTCAATCTGTTTGAAGGCCTCTTCAGCTCCAACTTTGAGTTCCTGTACGGATAAGGCTAGTTGGGCTTTTTCTCGACGCCGCGACGAAAAATTGCCCGTCTGCCAGCATCAGTCCACATCGTTTCGTTTACACATCCTTCATTCTGCTACTGGAATTGCCTGTGGATGGCCATCAATATCGCTGCTATCCACCCAGTTTCCATGGAGTCCCGCCCGGAGACGAACAGGCAACTTTATCAGAGCAATCTGGGCCATTGTTCTTGTATCCATAATTACCATTTCACTGCACATTTCGTCATAGTTGTTCAGCAGTGCAATCAGGTAGCCGTCTCCCTCGAGAGCGTTGGGACTACGCGGCACGAAGACGCATTCTTGACAGAACTTCCGAGGACCCGCGAAATACTTTTTGTACTCTTTAGTATCGACATCGAAGGAAGCAAGGCCGTTGAACAACGGATACCCAGCTACAATCAAGCATCATTGATCAGCAGTCGACCATGTAACACCCAAGAGGGCTTGATGGAGGTGATCAGATCCGATGGATCTTACTTACCTCCCATACGAGGAAGGATAAACGGAAAATCCGTGCCGGCCGTCTTATCCATGACGCAAACAAAGATTCGCGAATGGCGAGCCATGGCTAAGCGATCGTCGATTCTGGGGAATTCGGTTTCTTCCTCCTTGATGAAATACTCGGGCATGCCGAGCTCCAGGTTGTCGCTCCTGTAGTCAATCTCAAACTTGCATAGGAGCGATTCGGTCTCCCCAGGCCTCGGGCCCTTCCCGTTCTTGTCTGGCCACCAGAAGAAGACATTGTCGGGTGCATATGTCATGTGAAGGTGAATCTTACCGTGCTCTTCGAACGCGTTGGCTGTGTGTCCGGCGAAACCAGGAGGTGCACGAAACCACTGACAGAGTTAGCGACTGTTTATTCGCCACGGGCCCCTCCAAGCTGAGCCGAGGGCTGAAGATGGTTTACCTTGACATCACTTCCCTTGGCTTGTCTCCGAGGCAGGACTCCAATGTACATGGGGATACTGTAGTCCCATTGCCAGTGCTCTCCACCATTCTTGAGGCGTTCCAGGTCGCATGTGAGGGAAATAATGGGAAAGAGGACCTATGAATATTCTGTTAGGACGACATTGGGAAGGCAAAGGGAAAGAAAACGCCAGTCTTACGTAGTTTTCCGTGACGGCGAAGTCATGGATCATGCCACAAATGGGAGAGACGAGCCACACTAGCTCTCCCAATTTCCCATCCTTGTCGAAGGTATAGTAACAGATGTCGTTCGTTGCGTCCCCCTGAGCCTCATAGCCAAAGCACACCATCTCACGACTGACTGGGTCAAACTTCGGATGGGCCGTGAAAGTTAGACAAGGCAATTGCCCGTCAAAGTCATACAGACCGAGGGTCTCGAGGGTATCGGGATCCATTGCATAGGGAGGTGAGTCTTCCTTGAGCGCTAGGAGTTTACCGTTCCAAAATACAATGTTGGTATTAGCCGTCGACCGGACTTTGAAGTCGACCAAATCTGTATATCTGTTTCTATACTTTCCTGTATGCGGGGTTAGCCCTCAGGTTATTTCCATCTCTTACGAGGGTAAAGGCCAACCTAGAAGAGCTCTCCTTGCCTTTGCTTCTCGTACAAACTTCTCGGTCCGAACATAGCGTTGCTTAAAATCAACGTGGCCGTTAGAGATGCGAAATGCGCTGATGTTACCGTCGCCGTTAAACCACTAACCTCGGTAAGTGATTGATCAGGCATCCCAGACAAATGCCAAGGTCCAAATAGAACGTACCACATCATTTCCAGTGAAGGAGGGAAATTGAGGCTCAGGCATCACCCGGTAGAATGTGCCATTGATTCCCTTTGGGATTTCCCCAAAAACTTCGAGATTGCCTATATCACCCTCGAATCTCGTTGGCCTATGAAAGCCTGCTACTTGGGGATCCTCCAGTGAGAAGTGTGCGGGTGCCGGTGGCCATTCGTCTTGGTGATTCGAACATCCAGTTGAACCTCCAGTTGAACCATTGAGTCCCTTGGGCTTTAAAGCTTCCTTGAAATGGCCTGCCATGGAGCTGTCCGTTGGCCTGATACTTGGCACCTGGCTCAGAAGCTGAGGAGAATGTCTTCGGACGAGGTACTTCGGAAAGTCTGCTTTCGACGCCACCGCTGCTATTTGGCTAGTCTACCATCTGGCTTCGGAAAGGCTCCGACTTGAGCGGACCAATGAAACAGGCTCGGGGGTACCGGCAGGGATGAAGAATAACAAATGTCGGCCGGGGGGGTGGATGATACGAGGTCAGGTTGCACCCGACTGGCCCAGCCCGCATGCGCTGACAATTTTGGCTCCCTATGATGCTGAGTAATGCTTTAGTATCAATCAAAAGCTTGATACCGTCTTGCGGTGGTAGTGGCAGTAGAGGCCATGGTACTACGGGCTGATGACGACGAGGTATCGGCATCGGCAACGACAACGGAGGAGGAAAAAGAACGAGTCCAGCGTTGACGGCTTCTTTGCTGAAAGCTCCTGTAACCCTTTTGCATCCCGCCTCTACTCATTATTGCCTGATCTACTTGCCGGACCCAGGTCAATTATTCCCCCCTCTTTTTGCCTTTTGCAACGGGATCGTGGGCGCGACAGGCCGCTAACATAAAGATACCTGCGCAAACTACACTTACCATCTAGATACTTGTACACAGCTACGAATGAGGAAACATCACATAATAGCACCAGATACAGAGAGAAAGCCCTCAACTACCCTCAGCCCTCAAAAAACGCCTGGAACCCCCTCCACCCGCAACGCCATGACTTCCAACGGTGACAGCGTCAATGGAATGTCCCTTTCAGCCTTCGACTCCTCCTCCACGATTCCTCTATGGCTCGACGGCAAAGAAGTGAAGCTCTCGTCGACCTTCGACGTGATTTCCCCGCTGGACCAAAAGACATTGTACAAAGCCTCGGCGGCGAATGAACAAGACGCTTTGAAGGCGATCGCCTCGGCAGAGAAGGCACTCAAGTCATGGTCCAAAACGAAACCGTCGTTTCGACGAGACGTCTTCCTTCGCGCTGCCGAAGGGTTCAAAAAGAGAAATGATGAACAGAAACATTACTCATACACCGAGACTGGGGCAGCCGAGTCCATGTTCGCATTTGAACACAACCTCGCGTACGAAGCTTGCCTGAGCGTCGCAGGACTCGTTCATACTGCAAGTATATCGACCATGCCCGTCGCTGGCGAAGAAGGCTTCAACGCCATGGTGCTCAAGGAACCATACGGTGTAGTCCTGGGGATTGCACCGTGGAACGCCCCCAACGTGCTGGGTTTGCGCGCCTTTTTGCAACCTCTTGCCATGTACGTCTGCTTTCTCCCCGAATACCTCCTCCCTCCAGGCTGCCCGTCTTGCCCAACCTGCCCATGTAGCTTTCCATTCCGCTGTGCTCGAACGCATGCTGACGAGAACAAAAGGGGGAACACCGTGATTCTCAAAGGCCCCGAGTTCGCCCCTGCAACATACTGGGCCCTCTCGTCCATCCTCCACGAGGCAGGCCTCCCAGCGGGATGCCTCAACACACTGTACCACCGACCAGCCGACGCGGCCAGCGTGACGTCGACACTTATCTCGCACCCATCCATCAAGAAGATCAACTTTACGGGCTCCACGGCCGTGGGATCCATCATTGCCTCGCAGGCTGGCAAGTTCCTCAAACCGTGCGTGATGGAACTGGGCGGCAAGGCGCCCGCCATTGTCTGCGAGGACGCCGACATACAGACAGCGGCGCTACAGTGCGCGCTCGGCGCCTTCCTGCATGCTGGCCAGATCTGCATGGCCACCGAGCGCATCCTGGTGCACGCCAAGGTAGCCAACGCCTTCCGCTCGGCGCTCCACCAGACCATGGACCAGGTCTTCGCGTCCGACGCACAGGGCGGCTTGGGGGTGCCGCAGCTCGTGACGGCGCTGCCCGTGACCAAGAACAAGGCCCTGTTGGCTGACGCCGTGTCCAAGGGCGCCACTGCCATCTACGGCGACCCGCACCACTCCGAGGCCAGCACGACCAAGATGAGGCCCGTCGTCATCGAGAACGTCAAGCCGGACATGGACATTTACCACACGGAGTCCTTCGGCCCTACCGTGTCGCTATACGTCGTGCAGTCGGACGACGAGGCCGTCGGCATCGCCAACGACACCGATTACGGCCTCTCGAGCTCCGTCTACACCGAGGACCTGCGTAGGGGACTCAAGATCGCCCGCCAGATCGAGAGCGGCGCGGTCCACATCAACACCATGACCGTCCACGACGAGGCCGCCCTGCCGCACGGCGGCGTCAAGAAGTCGGGCTTTGGTCGCTTCAACGGCATTCCTGGTCTGGAGGAGTGGGTGAGGACCAAGGTCATTACGTGGAAGGATTGAGTGGTCTTGACCAATGAAAGACAAAAAGTACCACGAGAATGGCAGGCAAGGAGCATTACTCAGTGTAAATAGGATTCACAGATCCAGTACCTAAGTAGTACCTAAGAAGGATCAGTAGAAAACCAAACACAGCCAGCCAAAAGCACAAATCAAATTCAAAATTGACACGTTTCGTTATATCTCCCTAGCTAGGTAGACGTTGCTTCCCTAATGTATACTGTACAATTACGGAGGCCTTTCCGCGAACCTTGCAAACTAGTGTCTAAGCTGGTACGGATTATACTGTTTTCATTACGACCACCACACAAGCGCAAAGCACTGTTTATAGAGTGCTGTACTGTTACCAGTCATAGGTCCAAACGTATTCAAACCCACGTCAAGCCAGCTAGCCAGCCAACCTTTTTTCATCCCAGAACTACCTTACATCATTAACTTCCACGTCGTTTAAAGATATCAGTCCCGGTATTCAAGACATAATTATCCTCAATAAAAATAATCCTGCAGAGTTGAAGAATTACATTATCACAGCGAAGTTTTGAGCCAAAAGACCGCAGCGAGTGTTTTGAGAAAAGCATGATCTTGTAAAGAGATAATGAGGAACCCACTCACAATCATATACTCAAAATCTTGATCCCATAGATATAATACCATGTCTGATTCAAATTCATAAGCCCAGAGAATTCTCTCCGCTATCTTTTGTGCCAATCTATCATTGTCTGGTGTTGATAATGTCTCTTCTGATCACTTATTCCATCTGGCAAATCTCTGTACTCCAAGCTCAGCGGGTCCTTGGGGCAAAAATCTTCCTCAATTATCATTTGCTCAAATTCAACGAGATGAAGCCTCAAGAACTTGTAAAACGGACAGCAGTCTGTCTTTACCTGGATAGTGGTGATGGTTTCGAACAGTGCGTGTCTCTTCAACCAAATGAACAAGTGGCCACTTGTGCAACTGGGAGAATTTCAAGGTGCTATTCTGAAGACTCCCATTATCTCTACGAAGCAATCAAAACTAGTCCGCCATCTACCATTCAACTCTAACTGAGACACTAAGTCCGAATCTTGTAGCCAGCCAGCACGCCATTCGAGAACTACTCGACTTTGCCAAATCGTTTATCCTTCTAATTGTTGAGATCGAATTCTGTCCTTCTCATATCTGCGGTTGATGCTGGAGAAACAGCTATGTTCAGATTCGACTGTCTTTGGCGAAGAATACTCCAAGAAAGATTCAGTCAGTCATGTCTTCAATTTTCTGCACAGAGGCCTATCCGAGGTGTTAAATTATATTCCACAACCAAGATGGAAATCGCAACGCCGTCCAAAGACGAGCACTTAAAAGGCTTTTCAAGGGGAGTGACACTTAGAAGCAGTAGAACAATTGTTAACGATGGTAGAGTCTTAGAACATGAAATTCGACATACCGACATACGATGACTGGCCCACTGATGGAAGAACGGGCATGTGTAGAAATTTAGAGCGTCGACCTTGAGAAGTGGTCTTTACTGTCTATCCTGAAGTTCACTAACGTAGAAATCCCTGCGTCGTCACTGCGGCTTCTACCTCTCATGCGTAGAAAACGGATTCGTACACGACGCAAGTGACATTTATTGCTTAAATTTAAAAGGTCACTTGGTCTGGATCCCCACAGTTACGTTGTGCTCCAGCTCGCGGCTTGAATACCGACAAGCCGCGAATAGTCTGAGGTGATCTGAGGCTAAACCCGCCGAATGCAAGGATGATTTACAACCTTGCAGACCTCAATCCATCATATAGGGCCTCTCATGAAACATGGCATTGATTCTCGGACACGTCTGATCCGGATGCGGCACTTGTCTTGATTCGACACACCTGTCGTGCAATGACCACCGCCATCTATATATGACGTCTACGGCAGCCCTACATCATGCGATAATGTCTCCCCAAATCGACCTCTGTCAGTTGATTCTACATCTCTTAATTCTCCCTAAGTACCTGTGATGGCCAACAACTTCCCCGATGAAAGGGTTGTGTACCTCGCGCTGAAAGAAATCTTCAAAGGAGCCGACGCGCAGGTTCGCAAGGCCAAAAAGGTGCGCGAGATCGTCCAGAAGGCGCGAAACAGCATCGATGTGAGAGATCTGATCCAACAACACAATATTGAAAATGTCTGCAGTGTAATAAAAACACTTCTCGAAAAGCAGATCTTTGAATCTACTCTGAAGGCGAAGATTCGCTTCCCTGAAGTTTTCGAGATTTCTCCCGCCCAGAGCGCTGAACGGTCTGCTTCGGAGGCAGAGGCCGCAAGATTAGAGGCCGACGCCATCAAATCTGCTTCCGTATACCAGAATGGCAACACGGCCACTGGAGACAGCCACCATGTGCACTTGTTCGGCGACAAAGCATCGCGGACTGGTTGGTCGCTCTCATGCAATTCTTCTAGCTTTGAAAGTAATATTCAGCAGATCTCCACGAGGCGCGAACGGCTCTTCGCAAGCGGCCATTTCCACAGACCAGCGTCCAAGTCCCCCCCCTCTATCCAGTATATCTGCCATATCAAACACAGCATCGGTTGCTATCAAAGGTGCAGGGTATTCTCGAAAATGCCTGCTACGACTTTGGGTCACGAGAAATGAAGGACATCATTGAAAAAGAAGGTTGGGATTGCCCGGAATGTGTCGAATTGAACGTGTGGGCCCGCACGCTTCTCGTCAAGAAGGATCTTTTTCCTCCTGTGGATCTAGAAAACTTGGGACAACAATTCTCCGAGCTCACCAACTCTATCAGTCAACTCCGTCATACAGTGGTTCATCGGCTTCGGATTAATGCTAACGGACTGGAGCGGTTTCTGGCCGATGCCGAAGCTCTCACGAAATTACTTCACGATGACAACAGCACAAGATCATTAGCACGACTCCGGAGGGATACGCAAACTAGCATCGATGAACTGAAACGGAACAAGGATCTCCTTGAATCGAGACTCAATTTGAAATTGAAACAAATTTCGGATCAGAGGCTCGAACTGGATCGGCATGAGCAATCGGTTGTGGACGAGATGTTGAAGGCAGACAAAGAGTATTATCTTCTGGCCGGTGGTACCTTGGACGAAGCTATACAATCCTGTGATACGGCAATACGAATTTCTGCGCCGGCAGAGATTGCATCGAGGTCTGAAAGCGATTGCGAGGATGATCTCTCCACTTGATGGCTCTCATGATTCTGTGGGATCAGGGACTGCGGTTCGATCCAACTTGCACTTCATGCACCTCGAGAAACCTGTGAACGGCGTCAACACCTCGCTCATCCGCAGTGTGACATCACCAAGAATTACAGCACACAGCAAGAGAACGTACATCCGGATCGGCAGTTCCAAGACAGCAAGGGGAGTTGAATTGCTATCAGGTAGGTCTGGCTTCTCACGTTAGCTTGCCCAGTAGTACAGAAAGTGTGGCGGTAGTCCGTCCTAAGCAATTTTACTTTCTGCACGGTTGCACGGAGATCTTTGATTTTCATCTATATTGGATACTCTCTCGGCAAGGCCCACAAAATCTACTCCGACTGCTGCCTAGGCTGCTCAATATCATTAGCATTGTTCACAGACCATCTTTGTGAGGCATGATTCCAGTGATCGACTGCACCATCAAGGAAGATGGCCTCTACGTTCCTCAACATGAATCGTGTTGTGCAACAGTTTGATTACACTGACGTTGGAGAGCTTGAAGCAGCGTTGAGCTTGCTCATCGTCGTCCCAGATACCTCGATCGCCACCACTAAGGAACATCTCAGACTCATCAAAGCTTACGCGGGCAATTACTCTCTTCCTTCTTGGACTCTGAGTAATGCAGAGATTCTGGCAACAGGGTTTCGAGACATGATTGTCATCCTCACAGAACCAACCGATAAAGCAGATACCCTGCCATTTGAGCCCATGATGGAGGGGTCGAGAACTATTCGCAGCCTGGACCGTGCTCTGCAGTGGGCTAGTAAAGGCCAAAGAAGCGTCCAAAACACAATTATACTTGATGGAAGATTGCTTCGCAGCCGAGCTTTCCAGCAAAGAGAATCTCGATCACTGCGACGTCATCGCGACAGCCAAGGCTTTGGTGTGATCGACGACATCTGCAAGTTAGTCGAACCCAGCGTGGTACTTGTTTGCAATTGTTGTCGATTTGAGACTCTCAATTCGCGGACGACCGACTTGCTTGTTTCTAGGATCCCGGAGGCTGGGAATATCGAGATGTTGACCTGGCCATCCGGAGCGCAAGGGAGCATCGTGAAGAGTTTCCATCCAGAGTTTATCTACAAATGCGAACAACCCGACCAACGCGCCTTGCGCGAATCCCTCTGGAAGTTGACCATTGCAACAGCGACGAATATCATCCTGAAGAGCAACTTGCGAGGATCTGGTATTTCGAAACTCCGTTCCACGGTCTTGAGAGGCATGGACACGTTTGCGGAAAGCCGTCGGAATGGTCAAAATACCCAAGGCACGTCCAAGGCAGGGACTCTAAGGGGTAGGATAGGAAGGTGAGGCGCAAAACTTGGGCGAAAACGACCCTTTTCAGCGGCAGTGTGGACATAATCACGTCAATGCTTCCTATAAAAAGAATTAATATTTGTAGATATTGATACCACTCCGGTATACCTTAGTTTCCCAAGGCTGGACAGGTCCAGTGCACGGGCTGTGTCGTTTGACCTACGTGCTGAAAGCGTCAATTATCATGTCGATGCTCACAAGCAAACACGGGCACCCGCTCGCTATGCCCGAGCCACACAATTCAAATGAGCCAAAGGAGAAGGACGAGATGGAAGAAGATTGAAGCCTATAAAGGTGGTCGTCGACGCGAAATTGAGTGCAGCACTTCAAGAGCTTGTCCACAATAATCGATCCGCCAATCATGGTCAAGAAGCCGACTTCTCTCAATCTGGAGGCTTTCCACACCCTCGACAAAGATAAACGTCAAGCTTATCTGGCTGTTGTGGATCAGCTTCGAGAGCTAGGCGTTGGAGAAGACTTGTCGCTTCCTCAGGTACTTGTAAAAGACATCTTTACTGGTATGTGATAATAATTCAAGCCAGCTTGTGGTCGTTGGAGATCAATCCAGTGGCAAATCCTCTCTTCTCGAAGGACTCACGGGGTTGTCTTTTCCCGTCGCAAGTGACTTGTGTACCCGGCATGCGACACAGATTGTTCTACGACGAGTGCCTGCTCATGAAGCCGCAATACGCATCTCCATCATCCCGGGACCTAGCAGCATCGATAATGCTGATGAAAAAGAACGCTTGGGCAAATTCGCCCGTTGTATCAAGACCACCGCCTTTGGCGCCGATGAATTTGCTAGTATTCTCGATGAGGTGAGAAGAGCAAGCAGACTATGCTGTGAGTGAGTGGAATCTAACTCTATCAGGCTTCGGAGATTATGGGACTTCCACGTGCCGGAGCAACAGGTCTTGACAATATCGAGAAGAGGTTCTCCGACAACGTTCTGAAGGTCGAGCTGTCCGGTCCGGAGCACAATCACCTGAGTGTTGTTGACGTCCCTGGGCTTTTTCACAGTATGTTGACTGAAAAGATGCATCGTACAGTCGCTTATCGAGAAATAGATCCAGCCATTTATCAGACCAATGAGGACCTCGAAATCATCCGCAAGCTGATCATGGACTATATCTCGGACGCCCGTACCATTATCTTGTAAGGGCTGAACTCGAACAGCATGATAAAAGCACTAATTTCTTCAAAGGGCGGTCATAGATGCGAGGAACAACTTGGCCAACCAAGAGGTGTTCAAGATGGCACGTGGAATTGATCCACGGGGTGATAGGACTGTGGGAATCATTACAAAGTGCGACGTCGTCCAAAGTGGCGATGAAGCTGGGGTCGGTGATTCTTTGGACTTTCATCGAGCCTTGACCCAAACTGACCCCTCCAGGTGATTCGCATCGCGCAAAATTTGGTGGAGAAATTGCAACATGGATGGTTTGCCGTTCGCAATCGTTCACCTTCCGAGATCAAAGCCGGAGTTTCGTTGAAAGATCGTCATGCAACAGAGCGGGAGTTCTTCATGACCAGCCCATGGAGCGAACTTCGCAAGGATCGAACCGGAATACCTGCACTCAGTGCATTTCTGGCCCAGCTTCTCTATGAACACATTCGTCGCGAGTTCCCTTCCGTGGTCGATGAGATCGAGAAACATTGCAAACAGCTCCTGGCCGATATCGAAGACTTGGGACCACCCCGTCAGTCGTCCATCGAACAGCGACAATACTTGACGCAAGTAGCTAGTCGGTATCAGAAAAAATTGGCTGATTATCTCAGAGGAGTCTACGATGCTGACTTATCCTCTGACCACCCGCTCAAGCTACGCATGCACATCAAGGATCTCAATGATGCTTTTGCTAAAACGACGTCGAAACAAGGCCATACCCGGGCATTTCGAAATACGGATGATGAAGAAGATTCGGAATACCACTTCAAAGGCTCCGAAAAGAGTAGCATCTATGACTGTATTCGAACTTCATATCTTGAAGCCCGCGGTAGTGAGTTACCTGGATGCGTCAATCCGGCCGTCCTCGAGAATTTGTTTCGGCAACAGACATTCAAACGGCAGGAAATTGCAGAACAGCACCTGGAAAAAGTGCAGTCAACCATTCAGGATTTCCTCATCGCTATTATCGAAATCTTAATTCTTGATACCACAGTTCAAGATCGCCTTAGAGGTCGTCTGGTTCCGCTATTGGACGACTCGGCCAGTCAAGCTTATCACACCCTCGGACTTTTTCTGAAAGACGAGAGAGAGGGTATACTACAAACTGTGAATCATTACTTTGCTGACTCTCTCGCTGCGGCACGCGAAGACCGTGTGGTTTCACGGTTGCGGAAGCTGGGCATCGAGCCATTGGGGGACAGGGCGGTCCCAGCAGCGTTCGGCCAGAGGATCGGGTGAGCCAAGAATTGATAGCACCCGAGGGGAAATCGTTGGATTCGTGGTGGGAATCTTGGTGCGAAGGCCGACGTAGATAGATGACATGCCCCCGGATGGAATTGACAGTGAGTCACGCTGTGAAGTTGGTCTCGAAGTCCCATCTTGGTCAGAAATATTCCACTCTCGGGTCATTGTAGAACTTGCGGATTCGTCCTGATCAGGCTGATCGCTCAGAATCGCAGTGGCAGCTTTTCGGGCTCGGTTTCGGAAGCGCACCGGGTTCAGACAATGATCATCGACAGAAGGAGGCTGACAAGGCTTGGGAAGGTCCCGAACGCGGCGAGTTTTTCCTCTCGGCCTTCCTCTCGGCCTCCCTCTTGGCCTCTGAGTAGGTTGTGTTTTTGCCCGCTTCTTGGACGGATACTTCTTCGGCAACGGCAGCTCTACTCGTCCCCGTGTACGCCGGGTCAAGATATGTCCTTTGACCATCGAGGGTGAATTGTGTCCTTTTTCTTCCGAGGTCCACCAATCGATCGGTAGGGGCGGAATCTCGACGGTAATGTTGACCTGCCGCTTGCGGCATGATGTCTCTGAGAGCTCAAGAGACTTCGCTTTCTTTCTGGCAAAAGCCGAAGAGGAGTCCAAGACCTGTCTTTTCTTTCCTCCTGCTTGAGCAGATTGGAGAGGGACTACCACAGCGTCAAGTGTTTGCCTCTCCCTGTTATCACTTTCTGCTCGAGGTGGCATGATGCGGCCTGATCCGCGCAAGGAAGTATCGTCTTGACGACTCAATCCCGGTTCTGAACGATTTTGGGGTGCTCTTGTTTCTTCAGACGCGAGCTCCGAATGTCGCGTCGTCTGTGGAGAAGGTTTATCACCTCTGACGAGCATTTTGTTGTAGTCTGCCATCGATGCTCTCATGAAACCTTTCTCGTCGGAGTCGCGTGCTTCAAGTCGCTTCCCTTGTGTCACCTCTAAAGGCGGGCCTCCGCTGCGTGGAATTTTCAACTCGAAGGTCGATCTTCGAGTGACCTGATTATTAATAAGTTGCTTCATTGAGGCCGAGGTTCGGTGTATAAAGCCATCATCTCCCTTCGCACGGGTTGTACTTTTCCTTTTGGAAGCATACCGATATACTCGCTTCTTCTGTCCTTCTCCTTGAGTCGATTGGTCTCGTTTCACCTGCTCTCTTTCTGTGACAGTGAAAGAGATCTGGTGGATGTCTGAGAGGTGTTCAAAGAGCTCCTCCCAAGATGTCTGTGCCGCAAGATTGGTGCAGCGTGGATGGGAACAAGCCCACCGCCCACGCTCGCGGAGGCTCATGTGATGACGAACATGCATTTTCCACTCGCTCACGTTCGTGTACTGCCGGAACCTAACTTCGGGGTCGGCAGTCTTGTCACCGAGGCATTCTGGGCAGAATCCCGGCCGCAGGAGGGTATGGCGAAACTGCGCAATGTTGCATTTCAGCGGCAGAGGACGCATTTCCTCACTGGGTTGGAGATGTTCAGACGCGTGATGCTTCCAAGAGGCGAGACTGCCAAACCACCTGGAGCATGGGAAACAGAATTCTTGAAATTGCCCGACTTTCTTGGCCGCTGCCTTTCGGCATCGATACACGTGTGACCACCATGTAGATGGGTTAGACCTGCCGTACAAAAGTTAGTGGCGTCCATTAGTCGTTGACAATGGCAATCTGGCCACGTACCCAATGCGTTGTTGATGGCAAGTATCGCATACGTCGAGAGAACTATTGAGCCCGCGGCAGTACGTTTGCGACTTCTTCGCCTGAAGAAGTCGGACCAGATCGTCCATGATCATCATCCCGATCCGGTCACGGAGACTTCCTTCCTTGAATAAATTTTCGGCTAGCCGATCCCGCTCAGGCATCAACTTTCTCGTGTAGACAAAGTCCGACTCGTACGGAAAATCATCAGATATCATGAACTCTGCAGGTGGGCAGGTCTGGTGATTCCTCAGAGCCCGGTCGCGTGTCTGGCGTTTCTGATCGTAGAGTCTCTGTCGCATTTTCATGTCACATCCGCGTTCGTCCACGGGCGAAACTGCCTTCTGGTCAGCCGCAGCCGTCCCAGACTCTTCAAGTTGCTGCCTTCGATATTCAGGCAAAGTCGGCCAATGGTTGTAGTTTCGACGCAGAGAGTACCCGCGGAAGAGCTCATGGAGCCGTTGGTTTTGACGGTCAAGTTCGAAAAAAGTGGCCTGGCCGTCAACCGTGCTGATCGTCGATTGGTACGCTGCCGGGTAGGTGCCTTGATGGCGGTGGGCGCCGAATCGCATACGCTCATTGATGGAATATCCATAATCTGGTCGGTCAGCGCCCATGATTTGGCCAAACGCTGGCAATGTCTGCACTTACTGTCCACTTTGAACAGAGCCTCTCGACGGGATGCGTGAAATGTGAGGCTTTCGCGAAAGCCTGTCCGGTAACCTGCGTCCGGGAGCGCGTGATCGGCCAGAGACGTAGAGGTCAAACTTTCATCGACTGAACCGTCCGCATAACACCGTGGGAAAATAGGCATGTCCAGACAGTGATACTCGTAGCCTAGAGAAAGATGGGCCCGCCCGCGGGGTTTCCTCATAGAGCAAATGTCGGCCCATGTCTTGTAATGTCGCAACGCTCCCGCTGAGAGAACCCGCGCCATTATAAACAGGACGACGTTGTAGTAGAATGGTTGACCGACCAATTCGTAGGGTATATGTTCAGGCCTCGGCTCAGTCAGTATTCCTGAAAAATCCCCTAGACCCAGGAGGAACCTACTGCTCTCGAGGTAGATCTTGAAGGCCCTTAGCCTTGTCTCGCCGGAGGTCAAACACGATCTGTGGCTGATCGGTCATCCAGACTTGATAAATCCCAATATCCTATAGAAGGCGGTCAGTATGTCTCGGCATTTCGTAAAGATGTTTTCCCCTACACGGAAACGAAGATTCATTTCGAACTCGCCGGCACGAGCAGATGTCCCACAGTGGAGAAGTTGAAGGCAGTGCAACCCCCACCGGTATAACTCGTGGTGGTAATCATGCCAGTCGTTCTGCCACAGCTGACGAGAAACGGCCTCGAAGTCGAGAAGAGTGTAGTTTTTAGTCGGTCTCCTCTCTTTAGACAGATCCAGAACGTTATCATCGCCTCCGTCGATGAGCTGCGAACTTTGTCAGAATTAACTTGCTCAATAGCCCAGGAACCTCCACGTACGTTTAGAATCGTGGAACGTAGGGGCTTCGAGAAATGGTCGCCCGTCTTCCGCTGCCACGCGGTCATGAAATTTTTCCAGAACGTCTCCGCGGTTGAGTCTAAGATCTTGCGGTCCCTGTCTACTCGACCTTTACCTTGCCTTCCTCTTCTATAGAAGATGAGAAAGTCCTTCGCCGTCTTGGCCTGCGTGGGGCTCGGCCTACATCCAGGAAAGAGTTCCGAGTACTCTTGGACGAACCTGTCGAAGCATTAGAGGAAATCGCCTCAAACCCGAAGACGTTGAGACGACACATACAGGTCCCATTCGTGCAAGACGGTCTTGTAGTTGTTCGCTGTCCCGTCCCTGACGGGTTTCAGAGTGAGGGAATCATCAGTCGTCCGTACGGCGTCAACGAATCCGTTGGAGTCCCGGAGCTTCTTGCGCTCCAGGTCTCGCGGTGTCAGAGAGATAGCCATATGACGCGAATATCTTCGTCAGTCTCAAGGAAACATAAGATTCCCAGAGGTCACTAGGACAGGGGAACAAGAAATCCCAGGCTTCCCGTGGAAGAGAGGGCCTGTCTGTTGTATTAATACCATTGCGTGTCCTCTCGGGCAGGCAGGGGGAAAGGAGGGCGACATAAAACCACGACTGCGTGGCCACGTCGGCGCAACAGGGGCCCAACGGTGCTAGGATTTTCAGGAGCATGATGCCTGCCCCCTTTGACTGTGTGTCGCTTCATGCTGTGCTGTACCGTAGACGGCGCCATTCTGCCCTTCGGTCCCACGTCGACTCTCACATCACACACGGCCGCCGCGGATTGGCCCACGCTGCCAGCAAGGGGGACACAGCCTGGCGCACCCCGCCGACCCAGATTGACCTATCAGGGCGGCCGGCGCCCGGTGGCTGCGTGGTTGAGTCGAGGGTGAGTCGAGGGTGAGTCGAGGGTGAGTCGAGGGTGAGTCGGGTGAGGTCGAGGTGCGCGTCGGATGAGCCGTCGAGCGCGTTGACGGTGAGGGGGGTGTGATTGGGGTGAGTAAACGGGCGAGCGAGACCGTCGAAAGCGGCAATCGAGGTCCTAAGAATCTGGGACGAAATACTTTCTTTATAAAGTATATAAATTTATCTTCTAATCTAACTCTTTTACCTCGCTTATAACTCTTTTATACCTTAAGTAACTCGCTTTACTCTTAATTCTACCACTAAAGAAGTATATTCTTAGTGATAAGTGTTTTCGTTATGTGGGTTACTTAGGCTATATATTACTTAGTGAGCGATATAAGCTTAAGTGTCTATACTAACACTATATTTAAGAGTATATTAAATTCCTAAAGTTCTATACTATTTAGGGAAGAGCTATATAGTAAAGAGAAATTAAAATTATATCTCTCTAGTAGTGTAATTAGATATGAAACGTGTACAATTATATTTTGTGAAAGGTAGTTTAGTACCTTCTATAGGTTATTTAGTATTAACTTAGCGCCTTATTATCTCGCGAGAATATTGTCTAGCTTAATAGCTTTTATACGCGCGCAGATAAACATTTTAAGCTATTCTGAACGCGAAATATATTATGTGTTAAGCTATAAAGTTATATTAGTCTTATTTAAGTGGGCGCGCTTAAACGCTAAAAACACTTCTATATTAAGTGGCTAAAGGATATAAGAGTAATGCGGTGGCATAATTAGTAAGTTAATATTATTCTTTATATAATGGGCAATAAAATCGGCTCTAATATAACTTTTATAGCTATTAGCGATTAATAATTAGGGCTAACTCATTACTTTCTCATAAGTTTAAGGCTTAAACACTTTAATTAATCATTATAAACTAAGCTTATTTAATATTTAGCCATTCTTACTAACTATAAAATACTAATTAAAGAGTATTTAAGCTAGTAACTATTTAGAATTAATGTTTTAACCCTTAAAGATAATTATTAATAAAAGTGTGTCTTTAGCTATATTAATATATTTAATTATGATTACTCACTTCTATTTCCTTATTATAGTCTTATACTATTATTAATAGTTAAGAAGAACTAAGACCTTTATTATTTAACTCTCTTTAACCCTAAAACTAGACTTATTTATATTTTAAATATTAGAATTATTATAAGTACACTCTTAAAATTTAGTGGTAACCGCGTTAAATCACGCTTTAACCTTATTATATAACGCATTATTAAATTGTGTAGCCTTAAGTTACTTTATATAAATACTCTAAATAGTTAGGTAATAATTAAGAAAGTAATAAAGCTATTTATAGTTAATTAGAATAATAATTTTAGTGAAGACTAAATTTTATAATATATATTAAATATATTTATAGCGAATTAATTTGGCTAGCTTAATTAATAATGCTAACGTAATAAGTAATTTAGTGTATATATATTGTGAGACCTATTATATAAGCGTCTTTTCTTTCGCGTTTAAAAGGATTTAGACTATTTCTATGGCTTAGACACGTGAAAGTCCTTTAGTAAGCTAATATAATAGGGTTTAATATAACACATTAAAAGTGGCGGCGATAACGCGAACAAACTTATATTCTTAATTTTAATGTGCTAGAATAGTTTTCTAAACTCACTCTTTAAGATTAGCTACTTTAAAAGTGCGTTAGTAACTTATAGTTAATAGAAGTAATAATTAAACGTAACTAGATAGAGTTTCGTGATTTATTACCTTATATAGTTTATTAAACTATATAGTACTTTATTAAATAAGCTTAGTCTATAATAGTTAATTAAGGTATTTAAGTTTTAAACCTATAAGAAAGTAATAAATTAGCCTTAATTATTAATTACTAATAACTATAGAAATTATATTAAAGCTAATTTTATTATTTATTATATAAAGAATAGTATTAACTTACTAATTATATCACTATATTACTTTTATATTCTTTAGTTACTTAATATAGAAGTATTTTAAGTGTTTAAGTACGCTTACTTAAATAAAACTAATATAACTTTATAGCTTAGTATATAATGTATTTCGCGTCTAAAATAACTCGAAATATTTATTTATATATATATAAACACTATTAAGCTAAATAATATCCTTATAAAATAGTAAAACACTAAATTAATACTAAATAATCTATAGAAAATACTAAATTATCTTTTATAAAATATAATTATATATATTCTATATCTAATTATATTACTAAAGAGACATAATCTTAATTTCTCTTTACTATATAGCTCTTCTCTAGATAGTATAAAACTTTAAGAATTTAATATACTCTTAAATATAATATTAGTATAGACACTTAAACTTACATTACTTACTAAGTAATATATAGTTTAGATAACTTATATAATAAAAACACTTATCACTAAAAATATACTTCTTTAGCGATAGAATTAAGAGTAAAGCGAGTTACTTAAGGCATAAAAGAGTTATAAGCGAGATAAAAGAGTTAGATTAGAAAATAAATTTTAATATTTTATAAAGAAAGTGTTAAAGGTTACTTAGGAAATAAAAGTAAAGTAGTTAGTAAAATAGTAATAAGGTTTATTATATTAATAACTTATTACTAAAATTAAGTCTAAGGAGAAAGATAAAGTATCTAACTACTTATTAATATCTTTAAATAATAAAATAGTTATATTAGTACTATATTAAAGATATTAAAAGGTAATTAAGTAGATTTTTATAGTTTATTACTCTATATAGTTCATTAAACTATATAGTACTTTATCTAAAGTAATTACATTAAATAACTAAAGGTTACATAATTTATTAGTACCTTATATAAGAAGGTTTAAATATGGTTTAATGTGATTACCATAAAATTTTAAGAATAAGTCTATAATAATTCTAATATTTAGAATATAAATAAGTTTAGTTTTAGGATTAAAGAAAATTAGTTAATAAAGGTCTTAGTCTCTCTTAATTATTAATATAAGTATAAGGTTATAATAGGTAAGGAAGAGTAAGTAATAATTATTAAATATATTAACACTACTAAAGAGACTTTTCTATTTATAATTATCTTTAAGGGCTAAAACCTTAATTCTAAATAGTTACTACCTTAAATACTAACTAACTAGTATTTTAGAGTTAGTAAGAATAGCTAAATATTTAATATTCTAAATTTATAATAATTAATAAAGGTCTTTAAGCCTTGAACATATAAAAAAGCTAGGGGAAAACCTTAGCTATTAATTATGAATAGCTATAAAAGCTATATTAAAGCGGATTTTATTACTTATTATATAGAGAATAATATTAACTTACTTATTATATTTTCTTATTACTTTTATCTCCTTTAGTCACTTAATATTAAGGTATTTTTAGTGTTTAAGTGTGCCTATATAAATAAGATTAATATAACTTCTTAACTAAGTATATAATAAATTTTATATCTATAATAATTAGAAATATTTATATAAGTTTATATAAAGGCTATAAAGTTAGATAATATTCTTATAAGATAGTGAGATATTAAATTAATATTAAATAATTTATAGAAAATACTAAACTATCTCTTATAAAATATAACTATAAATATTCTATATTTAATTATATTACTAAAAGAGTATACCTTAAACTTCTTATTACTTTATAACTCTTTCCTAAATAGCACTAAGCTTTAGGAATCTAATATACTCTTAAATTCTATATTAATATAGATATCTAGGCTTTTATCTTTTATTAAGAGATATATAACCTAAGTAATTTATATAATGAAAACACTTATAGCTAAGAACATACTTCTTTAATAATAGTATTAAGAGTAAAAGAAATTATTTAAGATATAAAAGAGTTATAAATAAGATAAAAAAGTGAGATTAAAAGATAAATTTATGTTCTTTATAATTAAAGTATTAAATATAGTGTAAGAGGTAAAAGTAAAGTACTTTACTAAATAATAGTGTGAATAATTATAATAGTAAGCTATAATTAAAAACGAAAAGAAGAATATTAATAAGGTATTTAACTCCTTATTTACCTTATTAGATAATAAAATAGTGATATTAATACCTTATTAGTAACTTTTAAAGTAGGTTAGGTTAGATTTAATGCGTTATTAGACTATATATATTATTAAACTATATAGTACTTTAATAATATAGTGAGATAAATAGTTATTAATAATTTATTAATATAATAAAAGTTATAAAATAAAAGTTACGCTAGTAATATTAAGACTTAATTTATATATATAATAATTATTACTATAAATTAGAATAGTATTAAGTAAAGTCTAAAGGCTTAAAGAAGTTATTTTAGAGACTATAGAGTTAATATATAAGTTTATAATTAAATATAGTGAAAGAAAATAATACTATAAAGCGTTTTCACTTATATATAAAGTTATAAAATTACGTAAGAGAGTATTAAGGGAAGATAACCTTAAGATATTAGAGTTAATTTATAAGCTTATAATATTAGTCTAAACCTTTAGAACGCGATATAACCCATAATATATAGATTATTTGTAGTTCGGAACTCTGTGCATTATTACTAACACCCTATCTTTATGCGCTAATAATAGAAATGGTTACGCATTAGTGCGAGTATTCTCTTAGGAAGCATGTAGACCTATTACTAATTAAATATCTGTTCCTCTAGGTAGCGTAAGTCATGAGTAAATTATCTGTCCTTCGCTCTTTATCCTCTAGAACAGTGCAACCAGAAACTACTCCCATCCATTTTCACTCTTTCTAGTTTATATTAATGCTACCCGCTAGCTTTGCACTACACATCTTTATTACGAATTAGGCCTGGCTATAGACCGTATACTAGGCTGTAATGACAGCCAGTGACGCCAGTAAGGAAGGATAGCCAGGGAAGGATCACGTGTAGTAATAGTCCTAGCATAAGCCCTAGCTAGGCTACGGAGGAACCACGTGACCTATGTCTCTATATTATCTCTGTTTTAATAGAGGAATAGAGTATACATAGAGGCACGTCTATATAAACACAGTCATTACATAGCTTTACTGTGTAGTTAACTTCGTTCATGATCATACCCACACGTTTTAGTTATGATCACTTCGCTCTTATACTCGCTCAAGTACTGCGCTCTCAGTGACCTCGCCTCTTGTACTTCCCGCCTATCGAGACCATACGTCTTGTGACACCCTGTGTGGAGCGAAACGTAACAGTCTTATGCTTTCGGACACCATTTCTCCCAAAGAAATTGCAAGAGGATTTGCGGTATGAGAAGCGGGCTTGTGTCTTTCTTGAACGATTGGGTAAATTAAGGTAGAATGAAATAACTCTCTAATCTGTCCTCGTTCCAAAGTCAAACTGTTGCCACGAAGCACTAGTTAATGTTGTTTATCTATCTATCTGACCGTCTGCTACTTGATAATTCCCGACGAAATGCTAGTTTTTCCCCCCGGTTGCAGGAGGTTTTCTTCTTGCTCTGCCTGCGGATCCATCACGACAATGGCGCCGTCCTGGCGCTCTGCAAGGGTGATCTGCCTCAGACCCTGGGTCTTCCTCCATTCCTTTCTCGACCGTCTACCGCTCGTAGCTTTGCGGGAAGGACATCCCGTGTCCGCGTCGCATGATTTGGTGTAGAGCAGCGAGACAACCAGGCGACCCGGTGACGTCTTGTCGAGGTACCTGCGCATCTTTGCAGGACCCGCCCGGCCCAGACACAAGACGGCGAGTGAGGCGGCGAAGACGCAGAATGTCCCAAAGGCCGTCATGAGCGCCGGGATGCCGTACACCATGTGGTACTTGACGCGCCGCTCGTACAGAGTCACCGGGACCAACAGGCTCGGGTCGGTCTGCGACGGGCCGTCGTCGCGTCTGTGGACGTCTGTCCGCTGCGGCTGTTGCAGACTCCTCGTCCCGACCACCGAGTTGGCGGCCACGTCGGTCCAAACGAGATTCAGGATCTTTGCCGCGCTCGCCGGCGTGCGAGACAGGTCTTGCCAGAGCCGGTACATGGCCAGGTTCGTCTTGCCGGAATAGTCCGCGACGCCGCCGCTCGAGGAGTACCCACCGATGCTGTAGACTGCCCCTATCGCGTCGACGTGGAAGTTTAACCCCGGAAGGTTCTGGTAACCGACCGACGACGGGCCACTGGCACCTCCGCCGGTGTAGCCCGGCAGGTAGATGAACTCCTTGCGCAAGGTGGCGACACTGACGTTGCCCTGGTCCGGTCCTGACAAAAGACCCCACAGGATCCTGACGTCGTCGAGTGTCTGATCGGTCTTTTCGACCCCCCAAAGAGGCTTCGAGGATTCATTGGGGTAGACCTTGTCAGATACGTCGGTGACGGTCAGGCCCGAGAGATCGTCACTTCTGTTGAACCGGAACGAGACGGTTTTTATCAGGGCCTTTGTGGTGGAGATGCACGAGTATAGCGGGATGGTCCAGTCGGAGCCCGGCTCAAACACAATCGACTCCCTGCCGTCCTTCCGACGCGGAGCTCCGTAGACCAGTCCACACCCGGCGCCGAAATTGGTAATGTTGGCATTGTCCTGACCCCCGGCACCCTGACAGAGGAGTCCTAGATATCATGTGTCAGATCAGGAGCGAAACAATCTTATGGGAGGGAGAGAAAGATAAAAGTGAGGAGCTTACCGGCAGAAGAAAAGTTGGTGTTATCGACTCCGAAAGGATTGGTGTAGAGGGGCGGGACCGACGTGCTTTCGTTGAGCGAGGAGGAAAAGTTGTACAGAGAAGTACTGTTGTTGTATATCCCCGTCCCTTGGTCCAGGCCGTTCAGGTAGTATCCGTACATGGTCGAGGTGGAGAGGAAATCAGGACCTAGAGCACCCGACATTCCCGTCAGCCCAGTTCCATTGGGGGACATGAGTGGAAACGTCTTTCCGACGTGGGTGTCTAGGTATTCAAAGGCGTGCGTATCTGGATCTCTCTGGTTTGCCAAGTTGGTCACGTTCATGAATGCCATGGACCACGCGTTGTTTATCCAGGCCGCCTTGTACGCCCGCAGATAGAGCTCGGGATCGTTCTGCGTGTCTCCCGGTTGCCAGGTCGGATATTTCTTGACAAGGTTGGCAAACCCCCCACGATCTGTCAGCACCAGTCCCGAAACTTGAGGTGCAAAGGTACCGTATTTCGGAATCTGTACAAAAGGTCAGATTGAATGAGTGGCCAAATGTCCCCCGCGATATTGCCGAGCAGTGCCTTGCACAAGCCCAGTGAGACCCGGGACGGGACACAACTCACGGTGAAATCCAAGGTGAGGTTCGTATCGACACACACCGTTTCAGGCTCGACAAAAAGGAGATCTTCAGACCACGCGCTGCCAAAGGGCGACACGGGTGGTGCACTGTGGTTTCTGAAGCCGATCCCACCGTTCTTCATGTCCACCACCAAACCTTCAATGGCGAGATAGCCGTCTTCCAGCACCAAGCTCGCAATCTGTCGGTACGCAGTGACGGGGTACGAAGATCCATTATCTGCCGCCAGGGAGGTGGGGCTGTCGTTGATCTGGGACCGGGTGTAGGATCTCGTTTGAATGTCAAATATGCTGGAGATGGACTTTGCCATGGTGGAGAGGCCGCTTTCGAACACGTCGATGACGTACTGGGGGACGTGAGAATCGTAGTAGTCGGCCACCCAGTAGTCTCCCGTGGAGTTGTGCACGTAGGTTATGGTCTGCGGCGAGTTAGGACAGTTCGCTGGCTCGAACCCTCCACAGATACGGCTCCAAGGAAGGTCTGTTCTTGGGGGAGTCCCATAACCAAACTGGGACTTGTCTGCGACGTAGTGGAAGGCGGACCGGGTGGCCTTTTGGCTCGAAAGGATTTCCTGGTGCAGGCCGAGAGGCGTCACGATGGCGGCGACACCGACCAGGACGGTGAAGAAAGTTTTGAGTGTCGTGATGGTCACCACGCGCGCAGGCACACCCGAAGTCGCTGAAGAGTCGGAAGACAGGATGGTCGGCCAGTAGGAGGAATGCAAAAAGCGACCGATCACAGACCTGGTAGAGTCAATCAGTCAATGGACACTTTTGCTTCGCGTGGGCGCATATACGTACCACGACACGGCCGTCGAAGTTGCAGCCTCATTCTGTTCTTTGAGCACTCCAAGGAGAATGATCGGTAAGGCCGTAGGAACGAAAAACTGAACTGCAGCATATCGGTTAGTATTCCATAAAAGATACCTGGAGAGCTGATCTTTGCTGCCTACCCACAAAAATGGCGGCAGCAATAATGCCAGACACATAGCCAACAGTCAGATTGTTGAGGTCGACCATATTGACGATACAATAGATAATAGTATCAGCATTGAGGCATCGAGGAGCTGCGGCTGCGATATCCTTGAATATGTGTTCAAGTACAACTCTCTTGGAGATATCTGGTATCATAAATGAGGTGAGTGGAGCGAAAGCAATCTCTACATATGTACAGCGCCCAGTCTGGCCAAATCACGCCCTATCGTCGATCATACCCTTTGGAAGAGGAACCCGAATACGAGGATCACCCGTTCCAGCAGTACGTCTGGTTGTCTAGAGTGCACGCTGAGACTAGTCTAGAAGGGGATAAAACCTTGTTCAATACTGAGTACTGTACTGCACAATACGTGGGCAAGTAGTGCCGATCGCTAATTGCCTAATCCAGTGGGGCTCAATCTATTTGCAAATGTCCTGCGCCATCAGACCTTCTGCGCCCAACCCGTCCAAGTGGCTAGAATCAAACCTTTAATTCCAAAGCCGTTAGTGCCAGGGAATGGAAGTAACTTAGATAGGAAGCCAGCATTTAAAGATTGGACTGTGGAGAAGGTGGCTGTGATATGCCACGATTCCATTAGTCCTCAGCTCATATGAGGAGCGCTAGAATCCCCTCTTTACGTGATACTCACATGTAGCGTCCTGCGACTAATTTTACTTTGTTCTTGCAGATAGACGGCGTTGATCTCTCTCGAGAAATATGCATGACTTCTCCCCCAGCTTGGCCCTTTCCTCTACTGACACAAGACATTGCGAGTACAGTAATGTGCGGAAATGGCGTCACTCGAAAGTGCACGTAAATACTTAAATGATATGTGGATCTAGTCTTTAGCACTACGAGCTTTACCAGAAACAGTTTGGAACGAGATAGGTAAGCTATCTAATTAGCTTAAGTCTAAGAATACATGTAAAATTGTGTCATTTTCTGTACGCTGTTACGAGTCAGCCTGCGAGCAGGCCGCATACATAGCTATGATAATAGTCTCCAGGAACTAGGACATCATAAAACGGAATGTGTTTTGGAGCACCTGTCCCGCTAGGACATCGCAAAACGGAATGTGTTTTGAGGTTCCGCCGATTAGCGCGCGAGATATGCGGCCCCATTAAACCATTAATATATAAACGCGTTTCATTAGCCAAGTCATGAGTTTACTCTGTGTACAGTGTATCTCGTGAAGTATCCTATATAGAGTGAATCTTAGATTTAGTATTAACTTAAGACTATTATTAACTCGTAAGATAATCACTAAAGATAAAGTGATATACCTTAACTCTAATTAAAAGGTAAACTTACCTTAACACTCTTTACCTTAAGATTATTTTATATTCTCTTAATAATCACGGTAATTAATATGTTTTAGCTTATTATACTTATAGTTATATTCTCTTTCCCTAAGTAAATAGTATTAATAAATATTTGAAAGAGAAATATTACCTTTTTATGAACTAATACTAAGGCCTAGAAAGTATTAGTTATAGAACTTAGGCTAAGTTCTATTATATACACTAATAAAATTAGAGTTATTTATATAAAGTTTCTTTATACTAAGTTCTTAATAATTATAATAAATAATGAGTTAAAACTTTAATTTAATACTTTTAATAGTTTATTTAGATAGCTTACTTAAATTTATAGTCTTATCTTATTAAGTAAGTAAAGAAAGTAATAATAAAAATTTAAGGTAGTGTAGAGAGCTAACTTAGTTCCATAAGTAGACTACGTAATGGGTAGAGTAGGGTAACCCGTTAAGAGAGTCTTACCCTACCCACGTACCCATTAGGGTTTTTTTAAAATTAAGTACCCTACCCACGGGTACCCGCGCGAGTTTAGGGTAGGGTAAGGGTAGTACTAAGATACCCTAAAGTCTATTTTATATCTTAAAATAGCTAAAAATAGTAAAAAAAATTACTAAAAATAGTAATAATTTAAGTAATAATCTAAATTTTTTAATTTTTCCTCTTAAATGGGTGAAAAATCGGGTTTTAGGTACTCGTGATAAAAGTCTTACCCTACCTGCGGGTACCTGACGCTTAAAAAGGCTTACCCTACCCTACCCATTAGGGTCGGGTATCGGGTTTTGGGTTTGGGTTACCCTACCCATTGCGCAGCCTATCCATAAGTAAACAGAATAAAGAATAAAGAATATCTTAAGACTTCACGCTAAGTGTACCTACTAAGCACGTAACGCTAAGAGAACTCAGGGAAACCACATAACTATCGTAGGCTTCTCACATAAGGAACTTCTCTTCCTTATACTTTAAGTTCTATAACTAGAGTACCTAGATAGGAAGACCTATTTTTATTATATTATTACTCTATCTATTCTATAGGCTATTCCTAACACTTACGCAGGTTAACTAGTTAATACTTTTAACTTATAATAGAATAAGTTAACATAGTTAATAGTTATTATATAGCTTTATTACGTAGTTAACTTCGTTCATAATTATAACTAAAATATTCTATATATTTTAGTTATAATTATTTCGCTCTTATACTTACTCAGTACTACGCTCTTTATGACCTTATCTCTTATACTTTCTACCTATTAAGACTATATATCTTATGATACCTTTAGTGAAGCGAAACGTAATATATTATCTCTTCTCTATTCTGTTTACTCATAATAGCTAGCTAATTTCTTATTAATACCATGAGCGCTAGCTTATTAATACCATAATTCGCTAGCTAACGTGCTTAGGCTGAACGGGATTTAGTAACAGAAAAAGATGTGTCAAAGGGGACGCGTGGTAGTATCGAACTAAAGTGGCCTTCTCCGACCACTACTTAAACGGCAGGTTTAATGCCAGGTTACTAGCCCCGCATACAGTGCACTGTACATGGATCAACTTTCCTTATTCTTACTGTGAGGCCCCACGCGTTTCGAGGTGTCATCGCGCGAAAGTAAAGTACGACAAGCTTTAACCCCGCAATGCTTAACTATTTAACCAAAGACATGCGCTTGCCCTCGTAGCATGTTCTTGTCGTGTCGTGCCAGGCTTTTGGTTACGCAAGACTTCGATTCGCTCCGAACCTGCCAACATTGTCAAGATGAGTGGAGGAGAAACACTCGATACACATCGCGATGAGAAAGGTCCGGTTGAGCACGCTGGTCTGGGGGAGCATCTCCATGGCCATCAGTTACAGCCTCTTACCTCCAGCGATGTCCACATGATCGAATCTGACCAGCGGGCACTTCACCGCAATCTCAAGGGGCGTCATATGCAGATGATTGCAATGTGTGTTAATGCCTAAGCGTATTCCGTGCTTCACTATGAGCTGGCGCTGACTGTACACAGTGGTGGCGCTATCGGCTCCGGTCTCTTCATCGGTACCAGTAGTGCTTTCCAATCAGGTGGCCCTGGATCTGTGCTGATCGGAGTAAGTCACGTTAATCTGAAAAACCTGTGCCTGTACTAGATTAACGTTCCCACTTAGTTCATTCTTGTTGGTGCTGTAATCTATCTCATGATGCAGGCACTGGCTGAGTTGACCGTGATGTACCCGGTTAATGGCGCCTTCACTGTGTACATTACCAGGTTCTTGGACCCTTCCTGGGGCTTTGCCTGTGGTTGGGGGTATGGCATCGGCTGGCTGACGGTTCTTCCTTTCGAAATTTCAGCAGCCTGCAACGTGAGTGCCCTGCGTACAGAGATTTTTCAAGCTGAGAACATATAGATCATTCATTTCTGGGCCGATATTGAAAATGTTAACAACGCCGCATGGATCGTACCACTACTTTTCGCACTAAGTGTCATCCAATATTTCGGTGTCAAAGGTTACGGAGAGACCGAATTCGCTCTCAGCATGCTTAAAATCATCGCCTGTACAGGATTTATTATTTTCGCCATAATTGTTAACTGCGGTGGCGTACCTACCGACGGTAGAGGTTATATCGGCGCTCGATATTGGCATAACCCCGGGGCTTTTGCGAACGGTTTCCAAGGGTTCTGTTCTGTCTTCGTCAATGCCTCTTTTGCCTACAACGGAACTGAGCTCACTGGACTTGCCGCGGCTGAGGCTGAAAATCCACGTAGAGAGATCCCACGTGCCGTGAAGCAGGTGGTGTTTCGTATCGCCTTCTTTTACATTCTCACCCTATTTTTGTGAGTACTTCTCCGTCCCGACCTGACCATAGTATTAAGCACTTAATAGGCGTTTTCAAGTTAACAAGTTCACAGGGTTGGCCTCATTGTGCCCTATACCACTGATCTATATAACGATCCGGGGGCTGAGAGTCGGCACTCTCCATTTGTTATCGCCATTGAACTTACCGGCGTTAAAGCCCTGCCTTCAATCTTCAATGCCGTCATTCTTATCGCCGTTATTAGTGTCGCCAATGCATGTACCTTTGGATCAACCAGAACTATTCAGGCTCTTGCGCAGGCTGGAATGGGACCCAAGCTACTCGCATATGTTGACAAGCGTGGCCGACCGCTGTTTATAGTGGTTATTCAACTGTTGTTTGGACTCCTAGCGTTCGTCAACCTGGCCCCGAGCGGCGGTAACATCTTCAGTTGGCTCCTGGCCCTCTCTGGCCTCTCCTCCTTCTTCATCTTCGGAAGTATAGCCGTCGCTCACATCCGATTCCGCAGAGCCTGGAAATACAATGGCCACAGTCTTGACGAAATCCCATACAAAGCTTCATGCGGTATCATTGGGTCCTACATCTGCGCCATTATGAACTTTGTCTTCATAATGGCATCGTTCTATGCCGCTCTCTGGCCAGAAGGAGGACCGTATCTCAACACCGAGTACTTTTTCCAACAATTTCTCGCAGGTCCCTTCACAATCTTCCTGTATTTCCTTTGGAAAGTGTACTCCTGGTACAATATCAGAGAACATCGGCCTTTGTATGTCAGAACCAAGGACATCGATATTTACTCGGGTATACGTGAAGGCCAAGCTGATCTGCTCAATGGCTTAGAACCTGAGAAGAAGCACGGCCCTAAAGCTTGGGCTCTGTCGGCCATCGGGGCTCTGATCTGAGGTGAACAATCATGTCAGTAAGGAGTTAACTGCAGCTTGGTCCAAGCACTAAGAAGTGATGAGAGACTGCCTAGCTAGCACCGAGTCGTGAGACTGTTTAGATAATAGTGAAGATCAA